TATATTTTGAGAATTAAAAATCGAGTAATTTCAACGGAGTACTTTTTATTTCAAGAGAAATTTCTATAATTTCAATAAAAAAATCAATAATACAATTTGTATTCATTTGGAGAACTGAAGATGTGTATGTAATTTGATAAAAAAAATTTAAAAAAAGGTTGTGCATACTTTAATTTTAATATTATCAAGCAATTCAGCATGAGACTTCTCTCAAAATCACCTGCTCTCAAATATTATCAATAAAATTAGGAACTCAGTTGTAAGAGACTAGATTATTACTTTCGACCATATTTTTAAAGAAGTGTGCACATGCACTGATTGACTTGCTTATTATGTGCCAAACAACAATCTAGTTTACTATGATTTTTGTTGAGATGCAAATGTTTTATATGCTCTTACATGAACTGATTTTTTCCCTACACAATTTTCGAGGCCTTGCATTAAAAAAAAAAGATAATATCAAGCACTTAAATACTTCAATGAGCTTGTAAAATATAGATACATATATCTTTAGGGTAATGAATAGGCAAGCAAGCAAGCAACTTCAACAAACTCTGGTCATCCTTAATGAATTAGGTATAAAAGTTTGAATTACTTAAGCAATAAGAGTGTTTTTTATGGGCAAGAGGTTGCATATAATTCAGAACCATTCAATATAATACTATTAACATGCAAGAGAGGGTGTTGTAGCGTGGAGCATTGGAACAATTTTGCATTCATTTTCAATCACCAACGACAGTGACTGTGCACACTTCAAGCTCCAAGCGTCCTTTAATTTAGTTGTTCCAATAAAACAAAGTAAACTAATCAACCACCGAACATTTGGATTAATTGATTAGAGAGTTAGTATAATTTAATTAGAGATCTCGAATTTGAGTCCTGTATATATAGCAATAATTAAATTCTTTTTTGAAGATATGCTTCTTAAAAAAGTACCCACAAGCTATCGATTGAATTAGTTTATGTTAAATACTTAGAATACAAAAGCAAAAGGGAAAAGAAAAGGACTAATCAACAAACCACAAAACGAATTACGGTTTATTAGTGAGCTACATCTATTGCGTCTATTACACAAAAATTGTGGGTGTGACCATAAAACGAAAACGCGTACGATATTCCTAAAAACATATGTTAATATGCACACGTCAACCGTAAGAGTCAAATAAGAGATTCAATTATCCTGGACCTGAAGTAAAGGTCGATAGTGATAGTGCAAATTTTATAGATGTAAAGATTATGTTAGAAGATTTATTTTTTATTAGATTTTACAATGCCTAATTTTTTTTATTGTTTGGATCAACATGAGATGAAAAAAATCATTTCATCCCCGAACTTAGGTTGGGGATAAAGCTTTTTTTTTTTTTTTTGGGCTTATGAGGTGAGCACGGTGCAAATCACAAGGCAAGTGAGACTAGTGCCTTAGGACTCCAAAATATTCCCTAATACTCTTATTATATACTCTTTTTCTTTTTAAATATAAAGGAAACTACTCCATGTTTTTTTTTTTTTTTATTACAATCAAAGTTGCAAATTTCAAGAAGTATTAGTTATATTTTGATCAAATTAGCTCTCATAAATAGATAGTATTGTTAAATTAGAGGGAAAAGGAAAACATTAATTACAATGGAATTTTAGTTCAAACATTTCAATTTCAAACACAATTATTATGATTAATTAATTTCTTAAAATGTATGAGTTAGTTAAAATTCTCCTATATATATTCGAAAATAAAGGAAGTATGTATCATTGATATTTGTATTGTTATATATTACACTCCATGTCAAAGAGAATAAAAAGTGGTTTTTTTTTGGGGTGGGGGATAAATGAATAAAAAGTGTTGAGATGGTTCATTAGCAAGTGATACGAGAACCATGGGCCTCCAAAATAAACTCCCTAATACTCCTATCAGATATGTATGTTATTGATATTTGAACTGTTATACATATTTTTTGGTTATCTATAAGTATTTTTCTATTGAAAGCAATCACATGTCAGGTATTATCAAGTACTAAATGTGAATACATATTTTAATAAGGATTTTAATCTTAATTCACTACTTTATGATAAACTAGTTTTTTCTAGCCAACCCTTGAAAGTATTGATGGTTCAATTATTCCTAATATAATATTTATTATTGGGCTAAGCCCATTGTCTACTTTACAAAAAATAACAAGATCTATAATACACTAATTTGCACTACATTATTAACTCCCTCTTACAATTTCAGTTTTTATCTTTTTCTTTTTTTTTTATTTTAAAGCCTAAAACATTATCAAATATTCATATTAAAGCTGTGTAACTTTAGATCAAGTCAATGTTTTTAAGCCTAATTAAAATCAACATGTTTATAATTTGTTTAATTATTATTAGTTTTTCCTATTAATCATTAATATCATTAGTTTTAATTATATTTTTTTGTTAAAAATGTATTGTCACCTTATATCAATACTAATATTCACCTATTATCCAATATATAGGTGCAGGCAATTCTTCAACAACAACATGATCTATTTCTATCGAATTAATTTAGCTTTTTACTAGAATTATTATATTACAAAATTTTCATATATGTTTTTATAAAAAAATATGAGTACATATTTTTTTAAAAAGAGTAATTACATATGCTAGGCAATAATTGTCTTAGATCACAAAACTCTTTAATTCACACATCATGTGTATAAGGTTAAGCTGCATCGCTGCCTCCTCTTCTTCGCCTCCGTGTCCAATATTTGAAGCTATTGTTTTTATGTTAGTTAGTAAATGATTTTTTTTTAAATTCTCACTGAAAAAATTCATTAAACATCTATAACTACATGCAATATGTAAATCTAACGTCTTCTATAATAATTAAAAGTAATGTTTTTCAATAATATTTTTAATATTTTTATTTTTTTAAAATCAAAGTAATATTTTTTAAAAAAGTAATGTTTTTCATTTAATATTTTATATATATATATATATATATATTTGCCCGAATACATATATGTTACTTTGTGCGTGTGTGTACATATCATAATAAACCACATATGTACTTTTCAGTTATTATTCATATAAACCTGCATTTAAATTGTATTATGGAAACAAGTTTCAATTTGTTAAAATAAAAGTTTTTTAAGTATAACAAAAAATAATTTTAAAAAAATATTTAAATATAAATCATGTTATAGTATTTGATTTTTATCCCAATTTCAGTTTGCAAATTTTAAACCAAATACACACTAAGTCCAACCTAATATGCTAGATATCATGTAATTGTATATATATGAAAATAATATTTGTGTGTGTGTGTGTGTGTGTGTGTTAAATTCGTGCTTGAGCAACCCTCAATAGAACTTTGTGTGTGTGTGTGTCAGTGTGTGTTAAATTCGTGCTTGAGCAACCCTCAATAGAACTCTAGAAGCATTATTAAACAAAGGAAGCAATAGGTGAAAAATGGTGATAAAACTCTAAAAGTCCGAGTGCTTATGACCATGATGCAACAGAATTTTATCGAAACTCAAATATCTAATTCATGACGTAAAGGGTATATCCTATGTAGTACTGCTTTTCCATGGAAACATTAATCTCATAAAAAAAATAAGCAAAGTTTTATAAAAGTCAATGCAAACCAAATGCGGGAGGATTAAAAAAAAGGCAAATTAAACATGGAAAAATAAATGGAAGAATGACAAAGAAATCCTAAAAGAACTAACTAATTTACATTAGGTCCCGCATGTCAAACTCTAAAAATTTTTAAATCTATCTCTCAATTTTGTAACAATGTTGTAATGAATTTGTAACTTATTTTTTAAAATTTTAACATAAATAAAGAATAAAAAAAGTTATTTTTCCTATTGAAATTTAAAATGCAAGTTACAAATTCATCACAACTCAATTATAAAATTAAAAAATTGAGTTGCAAATTTTTAAAATTTAACACTTAAAATTTAATTTAAATTAATTGATCATTTTATGACCTCTATGTCATTCTTTCAAAATAAATCGAGATTAGTTAACCTTTTTATTTCTTGTTTGCATGTTGGGGGATTCACTAATCCGATCCACATACAAATTATATAAATTATTTTAAATACATGAATCTTTAATGTGAAATTTTAAATTTGAAATCAACCTCAAATTCATCAATAATAATTGAAAGCATACCTCAAGATGGAATCTATCCATTATAAAACTAGTTTATACAAATGCAGAAAAAAAAAACAGTTTATTTTTAGCCCAACAAAAAAAGAAACCAATATATTTTATTATTAAATTTGATCATCTTTTGATTATATTTCATTTGGAAAAGGTAATTGCATATTTTTAAACAAAGAAGTCGTAAAATTTATATATGCTCAAAAAATAACAAGTTATATTATAATTTACTATACATCAGTATCATAATTCATATCTCAAACACAAGGAAACATTTCCTTTCCCATGCATGTTTCCAAAAAAATCCCCTCATAATCACTCAAGCACGAATGCATTAAGCATATCAATATCATACCCTCCAAGATTGGAGAAAATGTAATTGTTTATCATCATTTTGTTTTTAAAATTAGACAAGGGGTGTCCGAAGCTAAAATGTTAAGCCTGCATTACACACATATTTTACTGTTTTTAAATTTTTAAAGAAACAAAACGCAGAATAAAAATAATTTCCTAACTTTGACTTTTTTCCCCGAAAAATAACGATTAATAATAAAAAAAAATAAAATTGAATTGCAAAATCTGGATAATGCAGAATTAATATGAAAGATTCAGAGCAGCATGTTGCTGCTTCTGGAAAATTGAGGAGTTCACACTTCACAAAGGGTCACTCTCTCGCATACAAAAATCAAAACACCAGCATTGCACTTGAAGGAAGTAGTTTAATAAGAATCAGTTCTCATTAACTTGAATTCCATTTTGTTAAAAGTACAGCAACAACGCCCAACTTGGATGGCAAATTGGAAATAGACTGAAGACTGTTGCTCAACCGATCGAGAGCACCAGCAGGAATAACCTAAAGACTGACAAGTAAAAATAACGATAGTGTCACAAAAACAAAATATTTGGCAGAATTGAAAAGATTTAAAAATAAAAATGAAAGGATCACAAAACAGAAAAGTACTGCAAGAACTAACAGTAACACGCAACACTTTCATATCTTACATTGTATGTTCAAAAAGCTGGTAGCTCGCCCCTCAATTCAAGAGGAAAGGGACTACAACGTATAACTAACATGATATCCTGCTATTACATCAAGATGAGTGGGAGTTTGAGAAAGTGTGTGCGTGTAACTAATTTATTCATTTCTATTTACTCCATTTTACCTCTTGATATTTTGCCATTCTGTGAGAAAGGAACAGAGTCTAAAAGGCCCTGCCGGTGCTACTTTCTGTACCAGTATATACTTGAATACATATGAATTTGGATTGGACTTTAGATTTGGGCCAAATCTCCTATTTGGACAATTTTATCTTAATTTCTTCATAATTTGAAATCCTTTTTAAATCATTGTTATTTTAAATCTCCATATATACTTTCGAAACACTACCTTAATAGTAATAACCTTTATTATTTAAACTACCCAAGCAAAAAATTTTAAATACATGGATTTGAAATGTGAGATTTGAAATGCAAATCTATCAGTCCAAACATTAAATAAAAAAAATTAAAATACACGTGATTCAAGTACCCCACATTCTTATTTGGCAGAATTCAGACCATGTACGCATGAGCATACTGCTTGCTGAAAATCATAAAATTCAACCAGCCACAGTGAAAATCATAAAGGATGACCAACTCAATTGGCAAAACATGTCAATGTGATAATGTCTATAACCATTTCTGAAGAGTATGGACGGTCCAAACACTGATGGCTATAACAGAAGCAAAAAATAGACCCTTAATCGAACACCCCTAGCCAAAATCAAAAGAGCGGGAAAAAAAGAAGCAGAGAGACAGATAAAACAGAGTATTGTGTCTGCACTAGGCCAATATTACCGCTGATGCTAGTTTCTTTTTTTCAAGATCCTCAATTTGAGGTATTTGAGCTACCCTGTGGTCCAATCTCATTTGGCAAATATAAACAAACAACCCCATTAGAACTTGAAGGAGCATTTCCCTGACCAAATAAGAAGACACTCTTATCCCTTTAACACAGCAAAAACGTGATGCATTTAAACAAATATTGTTGAAAATTACATTAAGCATATCCAACGTGACCTTTGGTACATAGCCATATCATCTCTTCGCAGCTCAACAGAGACAGCATAGGTATGATTTAAGATGCCTATGCTCAAATGTGTATGATAACTGCTAAATTGACAAATGGACAGGGGAATGCAAAACCAAAGAAAAGTCATTTCCTACGAATATTAGCCTGAAGAAATATAAAGGAATGGAGCAAAAAGAAAATATTTTGAAGGAAGAATCTCACTTAGGGCTCCCATAGCAAAAAATTTTGCATTTAGGGCCAAATACAATCTGAAAACTCTCTACAAGCCCAAGGGCCTTAAATGAAAATATGTTTTAACAAAAAAAGACGTAGAGAATTTATGGACATTATGTGCATTCATAGACATTTTGCTTTTTTTTTCATCTTGCACAATTTGTACATTTCAAGTTAAATCATTTCCCCTAGACTAGTTATACATTACAAAACATTGTGTTGAGATTTTATAGACAATATGTTGTGCATTCATAGACATCTGTTGTTCTTTCATCCTGCGCAACTTGTACATTTCAAGTTAAATCATTTCTACTAAATTAATTGTACAATACAAGGTATTGTGTTGAGAATTTATGGATATTGTGTTGTGCATTTATGGAGAAAGGGAGAGCAAATATGTCTTTTCTCGTTAAAACATATTTTCACTTAAGGCCCTTGGGCTTGCAGAGAGTTTTCAAATTGTATTGGGCTCTAAATGCAAATTTCTGTGCTTTGGGAGCCTTAGGTGAGATTGTCCCTATTTTGAACGTTTACTCTTTAGGACCAATGTATTCAAAGAACAAGATAGTAGGGGACTAGTGATTTCTGACAGAAAATACTGTGCCTTTGCAAACAACATCGAAAGAAAACTATGGAAAAATGGATTAATGATGCATATGATGCCAGACTGCTAAATATATTCATAAAATTGATTCTTGACACAAACCTAGTCGCATTAGGACTTGAATTCTTGCTGTCCCATTCCCAGACATCTTCAAATTAAATTGTGACACACTACATAGTGCACTCACTTGATTTTCTTTCTACTGTGAGGTGGTAAAGATAATTGAAGGAATCACAAAATAATTAGAGCTTTGAAGATCAAGTTGTAAGGAGTCCTTTAATTAGAGCACCAAAACTAAGATAAAAAGTTATTGAATACCCAGGCTATCATACATGGACATGGCCACAAGGAAGATTTTTGCCATGCTCGCATTCCATATAACAGTAAACAGCGAAGAAATGAGGCATAAGGCACCAAAACTAAGATAACACGTCAAATAAATACTCAAGACTATCATACATGGAAATGGCCACAAGGAAGATCTTTGCCATGCCCGCTTTCAATATAACAGTAAATAGCAAAGAAATGAGGCATACTGAATCTGGTGATTATGACCATTACCAAAATATATTAATCCACGATCATATACCAGAACTAACATACCTGATGAAAACTGAATGAGCTCTTCACCAAAAAGACGCAATCTTGAACACTTTTGGCATGCTATGAGACATGTATATAACTTAAGTATTCTTGTTTTTACTCTCCCCAGTTGATATATCAACAATCCTAATCCTCTCATTCTCTGGCAATATTGACCAGTTTGGAGATTGTGTTGCACGCAACCACTTGAAGTCATCCACATTTGCCCAATTTCCAGTCTCATTATCAAGACTAGCATCCCGAAGATCTTCTTCAATCCCTTCATAAGTCAAACAATATGGTGAAAACCTCACACTATTAGAATCCTCAATTATGGGTCGGCTCCTAACTCTCAAGTAAAAATCACTTCTTTTGGCATTATGAATCCTAATTTGATGTGACGCCATCACAAAGATGCATCCCTCCACTTCCTCAATAAGAACTGAACCCATTACAGGCCCTACATAAACCTGGCAATTCTTCAGCCTATGGACAAAAAGCGCCCTTATACAACCAATTAATCTAACTTCACAAGAATCAAGGTCTGAAATTGTGAATTCTCCAACTTCTGATCCCCTAAACTCTTCAAACAAAATCTGACCCACTTTGCTTCTAAATCCTGGTGAATCCCACACAGTATGTCTCATTTTCTCTGGTGAAGCATTAGTGCACTTTGAAAGAGGAGGCTCTTTCAATTCTGGAACACCTGATTCTTTCTTGTTTGCCTTGTTCTTAAATGCAAATTTCTTTTTTGGGATAAGTTGGGAATTCAAACTCTCAAGGCTTTGTTTCAAATCTGAAACAGTTTTGAGTGAGGACCGAACATCATAGGATGGCAAGAAATATGAGTTTTCAGCTACATGTTTCTCCAGATCAGAGATAGATGCAGATATCTTTTCAAAGTAGGACTTGAGTTGAGCTGGATCAGTGGGAGCAGTTTGAGAATCAGCCAGCTGAGACTCAATAGAGCGTTTCATTTTAGAAAAGCGTGAAAAGAAGGATGAAGTGGATTCAACTGAAGACGATTCAGACTCAGAACGATGGGAATTATCCAAACGATTCTGGTGTCGGTTTGAGAGGCGTTCAAGCATTAATGAGTGCTTCTTCTCAAGATCTGGGTCTAAGGCTTCAACTTGTGGGATATTTGTGGGATTTTCTTCCTCATCCATTGCTTGCAACTTGCAAATATATGGGAAAGTAGAAGAATCTCTGGAGAAACAAGAGACAGGGAGTGCCCGCTCAAAGGGCACCAGAAAGTGTGGCAGTTTTTGGTTCTCTCCTGATTGCTTCTTTCCAATTTTCTCTTGAGGCCTCCTGACTGTAATTTACAAAAATATAATAACAGATATCACTTTCCTTAATTGAATAAAGCATCAATTGTAAGCTAGATGAAAATAACAGATTCAAATAACGACAAACAAAATTACTCCACACCTAGGGCATTCAACAAGACATAAACATTGTAACATAGCCATGAAGAGTATTATCAAAAAGTTGGGCTCATGCTTATATCAGTTTCTTCAGAGACAAAAGTTCGAGTCAAGAAAATATTAACTCTAGTAAATATAAAGTGTTACTAGTCTATTAACATTAAGGTAATCCCAAATCTTATGCACCAATCTAACAGAATGGATTCGAGTGACTGGCGAACCTACATTAGGGTGAAGGGGGCAGATGCGCCACTGAGCACTGATCATAGCCGAACCTATAGTGCACATGACATCTTTGAAACATGCATAGTTGATATAATACGCTTTTAATTTTTATTCCAGATAGATACTTTGGCACAACTCGAGCCAAATCATATACAATATCATACATCACAAATACCTTGAGAATTTTCTATACCCATGATAATATAGAGATTAATAAACAAAATGCCAATACACAACAAATCCAACATTGCAAAACAACACAATCCAAAGCATGCAAGTCGCTAGCAATCAAAATGAAGAGGGAAGAAGTATACTAGCCAAAAACACATCATTCAAGCAAACACTAGTAAAAGAAAGAAAGAAATTAAACTTTGTCTGTAAATATTCCCAAATTCAAAGGCGTCAATATTCAAACGATTACACGACCAGATTCAAAGCCAAATTGAAATGAAAAATTTAGAACAAAGCAAGAATAACAACGCAGGGAACAGATGGCGCGGGGAACAAAATCAAATCTAAATTCAATGCCAAATTGAACATGTCAATCTCACTGGATTTTGGGAAGCACTAGAGTTCGAACCTTCTTCACTACATGCCTGAGAACAACCACGCAGGACTGACAACCGTGGACGGGGTCCGACGGAGTGTGTAATGTTGGTTCGTCGACCTAGAAAAAAAGATCCTCAACTTCACACTACGAATACGATTTAGTATGTGTTTGGATAGCACATTAATCGATTTTTTGAGAGGGGGAAAATCGATTTTGCAATTAATTATCCAAACGGCAATTTTTTTAAAAAATAGATTTTCAAAAAAAAAAATCGATTTTTTCAGAGGCAGCTTTTGCGTTCAAATTACAAAAACATATGGGGACAATTAAAAAGAAAAGCCTAAAAAAATTATAAAAAAGCACAAAATTTAATAAAAATAAAACTAAACTTTCTTCCCTTCTTCTATTTTTTTAGTAAAATTTAAAAGTTAAATTCTTAAAAAAATTACTAGCATAAATTTCTATTAATTACCACCCTTCATTTAACACTTGTTGTAAAATTAATTTAAATAAAATATAAATTGATAGAGCAAAATTAATTTAATTTAATTTAAAATTGAGGGTCATTACAAAGATTGTTATAAAGATCCATAGAAAGAGAGAGAGGGAGATTTTACGTCATTTGTTACATTGCTACATTTTTTATATTACTAAAATTTCTAAGCAATGCTTCACATTTTCATCAGATATGGCTTATATTCGTGATGTCAATAGAAATCAACTTATATATTATCACCTTCATTAGTTATTGAAAAATTAACGTTTTGTATTTAAAAATAAAACATTTCTCTTTTATTAAATTTATTTGAATTAAAATATGTTAAGTTATTTATTTACGTAAATTAAAATTGTTAATATTGATATAATTTTAATTTTTATAATTAATCAGATATATAATTTAAATAATATATTTTACTTTTTAAATATTAGATACAAATTTATTAATAATTTAATTTTGAAAGACAATGTCCTTCATGGTAATTTATACAGCTAAAATTAATTCTAAATAAATTATCCAAACATCTTCAATTCTATTAAAATCAATTTTAAAAAAATAGTATTCAAATATATTGCATTATAACATAATCAATTATAATTAAAATTTATCATTTAATCAATTATTTTTATAAGTTGTTATACCCAACTAAAATCCAAACAAGCACTTAATGTTTGGGGAAACTGGGAGCAAGATCTTTTTTTTTCAGTGAATTAAGTTTTTTTTTTGGCCGAACAAGTGAATTAAGTTCATACTTATCCATAATTCTCTTGAAGAAGTTGGGTGCTTTTTACCAAATAATTTAAGCTCAAAATCTTTCCTCCCAATTTTCCTATATAGTGTTTTGTCTAGGTTATAATCAAGTTTGGGAGAATTAGATAGAGCCAGTAATTTAAATCAGTCAAGTTCAATTTGGGTCTAGTTAAAAAACACTTGAATTTATTTTTTTAAAAAACCTGTATGGCCAATCTTGACTCTAATATATTGGGTTTTTGAGCTTATTTAAACTAAGCTCAAATTTCGTCAGACTTATTTAGGGAGCCTAAATAAGCATAAAGTATGTAAATTTTTCCTAACTATTAAGCCTAATCATTAAATTTTTTGAGCTTATTCGAATTAGCCTGAATTACTGCATCTAAAATTAGGTATAAGTCAAAAATCAAGTACAAATAACAAAATTAATGACCTTGAATAATAAAATTTGTTTTATTAATTAATTTATATTATAAAAGAATTATTTTTTATTTTTATTTTTATATAGTCATTCACTCCATTTAAAAATGTAAGACATTTTTAGTATTTTAAAGTATAATTAATGTATTTTTTCCAAAAAAAAGTCTTTAATAACATTATATATTTATGTTTAAGTAAAATACTCTATTAAATAAGGATAAATATAAAAATATTATGTTAATTTAAGATTCAGTTAAAAATATCTTAAGTTATAATATCTTATATCTAATATTATTTAATGATTCAAATATTATCAAACAAATTTGAAAGATTTGATACCAATTTGTGTAATGTGGTGTTCAAAATTATTAGGGAAAATGATAATTAAAGATCTTTTAAGAACATTAATTTTAATTAAGAACCATAACATTTTGAAATCTCAGTTAAGGATCACGGTCCTTAATTGAGATAAAAAAAATATAATTTTTGAAGTGGGATTCACTAATACCATTTAAGAATTCACTAACCCAACTTAAAAAAATTGCTAACGTATATTGTTAAAACATAAAACCCCACTAAGGAATCGATTGTTTAACAAAAAGCGTCACTTGAGAATTCACAAACTTGACTTGAAAAAATTTCTAATGTATATCATGAAAAGATAAAACTCCACTTGAAAATTAATTATTTAACAAAAAATGTCACTTGAGAATTCACTAATCAGGCTTAAAAAAATTTCTAACGTATATTGTGAAAAAATGAACCCTACTTAAAAATCAATTGTTTAACAAAAAGTGACTTGTCTAAATTAGAATTTTTTGTTAAACAATCGATTATCAAATAGGGTTTTATGTTTTCACAATATATGTTAAAAAAAATTTTAAGTTGGGTTAATAAATTTTCAAGTAGTGCTTTTTGTTAAACAATCGATTTTTAAGTGAGGTTTCATATTTTAACAATATACGTTAGCAATTTTTTCAAATTAGGTTAATAAATTCCACCTCATAAACTATATTTTTTTATTCTAATTAAGGACTGTGATCCTCAACTGAAATTTCAAAATATTATGATCCTTAATTGTCATTTTCTCAAATTATTACTAACATGATTACATTAAGGATGAAGAATTTCTTCTTACTATTATAGCCCAGTAGCTTTGTACTGGGAAGGCATGGTTCTGATAATATCATTGTAGCTTAAGAAGTTATTCATTTTATGATAATTGTGCAAGGGAAGAAGGGATTTATGGCTATTAAAATTGATATTGAGAAAGCTTATGATCGTGTTAATTAGGGTTTCTTGGCTGATTGTTTGAAGAGCCTTGATCTTCCTAATCACATGAGAGATATAATCTCACAATGTGATTCGTCTGCTTCAATGCGGCTACTTTAGAATGATAGTAAAGCTGATTTATTTACTCCTTCTAGAGGTGTTCATCAAGGAGATTCAACTTTCCCATATCTTTTTGTCATATTGATGAAGAAATTGGTGCACTTAATTCAGGAGAAAATGGAGGATGAAAAATGGATTCCTATTAGATTTGGGAGAACAGGCTCACCAATATCCCATTTATTCTTTGCTAATGATATGATTTCATTTGTTGAGGCTTCGCTCTTTTAGGTAGATGTCCATTCGCGATTGTCTATATCATTTTCATAACAGCTCGAGGATGAAGGTAAATGTCTCTAAGACATGTGTGTATTTCTCCAAAAATGCAAACAATACACGACGAGAGGAGTTTAGTTCTGCCTTGGGTTTCACGAGATCTACAAATTTAGGACATTACCTTGGAGTAAAACTTCACACTAAACCTATGGGAAGTGATACCTTTGTTGATGTTATTGATAAGGTTAAAAAATGCCTATCTACTTGGAAGACTTCTTCTCTTTCACTTGATGGAAGGACGACTCTTGTTTCTACAGTAGGCTTTGCTATTCCAACTTATACCATGTAAACATCTCTTTTTCCAATTCAAACTTGTGATACTCTTGATAGCTTAAATCGGAGTTTTATTTGGGGTTCTAGAGAAGAAAAGAGGAAGACTCATCTCATGTCCTGGACGAATACTTATCAAAGTAAAAACACTGGTGGTTTAGGTATTTGTCAGCTAGAGCCCAGAATCAAGCGTTCTTAATGAAACTTGGCTGGAAAATGATGAAGCAATGTGATGATCTTTGGGTTAGGGTGGTTAGAGAAAGATACAAGTGTGGCAGTGACCTAATCCCAATGACTAATAAGAAGTGGCAAGGATCTAATACTTGGGTTGGGATTAAGAATGTTTGGGTGAAAGTGGTGGAGAGTGTGGAGCTAGCAAATAAAGGTTCTAATGTTAGATGGAAGTGGAAGAAGGATGATAATTTTTCTGTCAAGTCGGCATATTCTTATATGGAGCAGCATGACAAGCCTAATGGAGCATGGTGGGGGAGAATTTGTAAGCTTAGGGTTCCTCAACAGTGCAAATCTTTCTTGTGGCTCACTTCTCATAATAGATTACTTACTAATGAAGCACGTAGGAAACGTCGAATGATTGAGAATGGCAAGTGTCCTTGGTGTTCTGACTGCACTGACGATGCCCTTCATGTCTTGCGCGACTGCCCACAAACTTGTGCTTACTGGTGTAAGTTACTCAATCCTACTTTTCATAGTGTATTTTTTTATCTTCCGTATGGCCACTGGATTCAGTGGAATTTAAAAAATGTTGGTCACAAACCAAGGAAGGATTAGAGGGAATTATTCACAATTAGTTGTTGGCTCCTTTAGCAACGGCGAAATTGTCATATTTTCGAGAACAAGAACAGAGATAATGATACCATGTTTACATAGGCTGTGTCGGTTATAAGAAGTACAAGGCTTTATCAGAAGAAGGTTCTTAACATTAATATGAGTGGGACTATTCATTTGCAGAGCCCTTCATCTTGAATGACACCAACACAAGGGTGAGTTAAAATTAACACTGATGGAGCTTTTGATCCTCGTACGAAGAATGGTGGTTGCGAGGGAGTCATCCGCGATCATTCAGGCACTTTCTTATCTGGCTTCATGCTTGGGCAGGTTGGCACTAATAGCTTGGAGACTGAACTGTGGTCTATTTTGACTGGCTTAAAGGTGATTTGGGATCTGGGTTTTAGAATGGTTATTCTGGAGAATGACATCATTGAAGCGGTATCTCTTGCTTTTGGTGAGCTAAATCATCTTCATCATCACTGAGACTTAATAACTGAAATTCACAACATTTTGAGTCGTGTATGGGACATTACTGTCAATCACGTGATGAGAACCAATGACGCAACTGCTGATCATCGTGCGAAGCAAGCCTTGCAAGGCTGGCCTGGATTGCATTTGATTTTTAGTTCGTCTCTTGCTTTAAATTGCTGTTTTGTTTGAGGATTGTTGTTATATGACTCGTCTTTTACATTAAAAAAAAAAAAATCCTTTTCCCCTTTAGTACCGAACTCTTCCCTACCAAATAGTACCCCAAAAAAAAAAAATCTTCCATGAGTAAGATTTTTGCAAAAGTTTTATTTAAATTTTTTGTAATACTTAATGTACTTTTAAAATTTGTCTTTATTTTTTATTCCTATTTTTAAGATTTCCAAATATTGCATTCCTTCAAAAATTTTCCAACAAATTAAATGAGAGCTTAACCTTGTACTATCTTAAGTTAGATATGAAAAATAAAGCGAATTAAAAAAAAAAAAGCAAGGCATGTAAAAAATTTAACATATAATTTTCTTCATCTTGCATAAAAAAAATTGCAAAATACATATAAAATGACAAAAATATCTATTGTCCATATTCCTTGATTGTGAGAATAGTATATGCCAAATTTTTAAAACTAAATGATACGTTATTCTTCTAAACTTTAAATCATATATACATAATCTCTTTAATCCATAAAACTTTACAATGAACTCCCCTCAACTCTTATATTTATGTAGATAACCCTATGATTAATTTTATATATTAATTATCTACACATAATTTAAAATTTAAGGAAGTTGTCTGTATATTAATTAAAATTTGGGGGCTTAAATATACACAAAAATAAAATTTAAGAAGGTATATAATTAATAGTTATGAGTTATTTATATAAATTTAGAAGCTCAAGGGGGTTTATTATTAAGTTTTAAAAGTTAAGGAGGTTATCTGTACATGATTTAAAGTTTATGGGAATTGTGTGTAACTTAGCCAATTCATAATTATCCAAATTCTCTATTACCTTGCCTCTCTATTAATCTACAACTTAGGTCAAGGGTATTTTTATTTATTAACTTTATCAAAAAGTTTACTAAACATTCTAAATTTAATTATGAGTCAATTCTATCACTTGACGTTAAAAATATCCTTTCTCATTACTCTAATAAAATTGAGGGTATCTAATAACCTTTTAATTAAAGATGAACAAAAATAACCTTTAACTCTTTACAACTTTATTTTAATTCATCTTATTCTCTATCTACTCATTCCATTCCATTTGATTTCATTTCTTTTCAACAACCAAACAAGTTTTTAGTCTATAAATAGCTTGTGTGAGCACTTGTATGAGGGATAATAAATGATTGAATTAGTTTGAGATATACTCTGAATGCTCTCCCTCATTTTCTTTTGTTCTGTCTGTTCTTCGTTCCTCTCCTTTCTCCCTATGTGATTTTGTTTTCCTCCCTACTCTCCTCGTGTTTGCATCTGCGCAAGTTTGTATGAGCATGTGCTGCATCACATGTATTTTTCATTGGTATACTCAATACAAGGCTACGCTAAAAACCATATAGAAGAAAATGAGACTATCTCAAATTAGAATTTAGAGATCTTTACACCCCGGTGGAGGGATGTTAAAAAGTCTAAAGGTGACATCCGTGTTGTTAGATCGATAAGATAGGCAACCAACAAATTTATCTGTCTCTTTAAAAGCATAATCTAATGTAACTCCCCAATCCTTCATAAGAAAATTTCAGACATTCTTGATGGTGTTTATGAGCCAGATGATTCATAGAAAATTTATTTTGGATAATCCTAGAAGCTTTAGTTGAATAAGTGAAGATGGTCATCTTAACCAACCTTGATTCCAACATATCCTTGATCCTTCCAATATATCCACTAGTGCTGCCGCTGTATGTATGTGTTTTGATTGCAGACCAACAACTTTTTATTAGAAACAATCATGTTCAAAATACGATCAAGTATTAAATATGAATACATATTCTCACAAAAATTCAAATTATAGTTCGTCACGTTGTAAAAAATTAATTCCTTAAGTTAAATCAATCCCAGTTGGTAGTATGTATATTTTAAATATAGAGAATTGATAGCATATAACTATCAAGCCATGCATTATAAAAGCTTTTCCTATCACAAGCTAAAAGGTAATTTTTCTGAAGGCTTGTGTCCACCTCGTAAAACCAAACAAGCCAAGAGGTATTTTCTTCTTTTCTTTCATCATCAAATGCAATTGTACTATTGTAATCCAAGTCTGTAGATATCTTGCAAATATGGAACCGACATAACAAACTAACCATTCAGTATACGAGATTATAACGTCAAATGCAAATGATCTCTCATATTATAATACATGTTACAAAAATCTGGGGAAATGAACCTCATGTATGAAAGGAACATGCATTAAATTACCAAGAAGATATTATATACTAATTAGCAGCATCCACCAAAAGCAATAATGATGATTGAGCAATAATTTTATCCATGAAACTACAAAGCTGCAAGTATTAATATGTTAGCTCATGCAGATTTTTCAGCTTCTTCAGATGCTTCTTCCTCTTGCAGCTTCTTTAAAGAGGGAGGTGGCCTAGGGATAATACTTTTCTTCCATTTCCGATCAAGCTTCCTAGATAACCTCTTACCGATTCCCTTCTCAATCTCCCTTTCCCGCTTCACAGTAAGCATGCGAGCAATCTGTAAACATCAATATTCATTCGCATTCAGAAGTTTAAAACTACCAACAAAGAGATAGGAAGCGAATAAAATAATGCAGACCCAAAGGAATTGCTGGTAAACCCGTTCTAAGTCCCTTAAGCTTTGTTTGGAATGAGAATAAAATAGGAAGAGGAGAAAACTATAGGAAAAATACATTTTCCACTCTTGTTTTCCTTTAATTTCCTCATAGGAGGGTGAAAAGTAAAGAAAAAAACATTGTGCTGGAGAGAGAAAATGTCCTTTTCTTTTACCTTTTTCCCTGTAGTTTTCTCTCCTCCCCATTTGACTCTCATTCCAAACAGAAGATTAGGAATTTGCTTCGCCGCAGATCAGACCTCACATCATTACATATAAGAGGATATGCGATTGCCCCCTTACTTCTCATTTCTAGATCAGATATAGAAAAGATGGACAAGTCAGAGAATGATCTAATTAATTCTCACACAATGTGGATATACATGCAAGGACACGAGTTACAGGGATATGAGTTTAGAGAATTGTATTCCCTTTGCTCTTGGGTATATACGAAAGGTCAATATATCAAGATAGAACAGAGATTATCAGGATGATGGGATTTATTGTGAATATGCACTCGACTTGACATTGCCAACTTCCACTCAATAGAAGAAAACCAAGAGTGAGAACAAGAGACAAAAAGGAGTCAGGGATCCTTCCTTCAACAGCATCAGGCACTTAGTTGATTATGAGATGAAGAACAAAATACAAAAATGAAAGATTATGATATTGATCTATAACAGCTCAACTGAGTAAAAGCGAAGTGAGGGGACAGAGATCATTCATCAACTAAATTCAAGAGAGTTGCTTTTACAAGATAATTGAGTGTGATAGCAGAAGGCAAGAGTTGCCCGATGACGAATAAAATACAGAATACCAAAAAAAAAAAAAGGCATCAATCCTTTAAAGAATAACACAGCCTAATTGATAATTGTGATCTACATAATTGGATGCTATGGTAACCCATTACAGCAGGCTGTGAGCACACAAACGGAAGTCACATTTTATCAAGTGCTGGGCACAAGTAAATCGAGAAGTGGGCAGTAATTTTTGTTATTTATTGAATTAACATTTTAATTTGGTGAAGTGAAGTCATGCTTCTTCCTTCTTTCAAATTATCACTCCGATGAAGAAGACAAGAATTAAAAGAAAATTAGATTAAGAACAGAAAGAAGAGAAGAAATCAGTATGAACAAAGTAATATCCTAATATTTATAAAATTAAAAATCATCATTAAGTGAAGCTAACATGTAACCTTAAAATATTAGAAGTCCTTTTTATAAATAAAAAAAAAATCAGAACTCCCACAATCGTTTTTTGAAAGGGGCCATGAGGGGAGGTGTTGGGGATGTTATTAAAGTAATCTTATATCTATTTTATTTTATCCAATTTTCTTAATCTTTAATGTATCTCATGCAATGCATGGGTCAGCAAATCTAGTTGCAATTTAAATGCACCAAATGTACCAAGTTTGAGGATGGCTGTGATTGGGTACATAGCATCTCTAGTAGCATTTTATAGTTTAGAAACAGGTCAAAGTTCTCAGGGGAACTGATCAACTGATATGCCCCAATCTTGATAATGGGCCACAGGTCACTCAGACATATAGTAGAAATATGAAATAATATAAACGAAGAGGAAAAAAGATGGGTTGAGTGGTGAGGTATTCCAAATGAGGTAGGCAAGAGATCTGAATTTGGCTGAGGAGAGCCTCCGACCTCCAAAAAGTCAAAGAACCAACTCTCCTTCGTGCTTTTCCTTTCCTTCCATTGACTGTAGCCAGCTCATTTTCTAAGAATTGAGTTTGTCTGGTGTGAAGCACCCATTGAGTATAAATAAGAAGGTAGAGTTTCATCATCAAGCAAGTAAAACTTCTATTTTAGTGGTTACTACTTGTCCTCTATCTTTCTCTCCCTCTTTGTATATAACAGAGAGTTTAAAGCCAGGAGACATAGTGCCAGAGTAATAAGCATAACAGCATATGCATGAATTAAAGATCTTTATCACAGAAAAATAAGTGCGAAGGTCCCTGTTCTGTATATAGACTATATATCATATCAACTTCACCCTTTACCATTTAAAAATAGCAAGCATCTATGTACCTGAGTTGTATTTCTTAAACTACCATAGAAATGAATCCCTTTACCTCGCCAACAATGTGCATTTCAACCTTGAACATAATTAAGATCTCAGCAGCTTCAACTTTTAGAGGTTCATAAACAACCAAGCTAACCAAATTTCCCAGCAGATAATCAATTGCCCTCGCTTCATCTTTAAAGCATAATATCAAACTAGGACCACTGACTAAACATTATAAAAATAAAAACCATGACCTTATGTTTAAATAGTCTCCTAAATAAATAAATAAATAAATAAAATTCAACCGGGGATGTCCTTTTAAGCATGAGACAGCATCACTCGTGGTAATGATTATCAGAAGCAGGGTACAGTTGCCTATTCTAGACCCACTGGTTATACTTGAACGGAAAATTTAGAATTTTCCCCTTAGGCTTGAAAGAGAATTCTCCTCCTCCTCCTCCTCCTCTTTTTCCTTCCTTCTTTTCTTTTTATAGCAGAAGGAAAGCCAGTAAAGCGTTACAAGGAAAACCGGCAAAATTGATAGTTGCCAGAAGGCGAAAATTCTCCATTGCTCCCTATCCCTAATATCATGTTTTCAACTTGGCTTGGCTTCTAATTTCTAGTCGGCAGGCTCAGTTTATTTTCCTATCTTATTGTTCAAAAAACTAGTGTTCAACAAGAGAGGTCTTCTTTCGCCAAAACATAAAAAATAAAAAATAAAAACTAGAGGGGTCTTCAATTCACCAAAAAAAATAATAAAAACTATGAAATTGTTCAGCATTTCCCCTGAACTAACAAGTATTAAGCAGATAGGAAAAAGTAATACCCTCTTGCGCATCCGACGGAATTCGCTGGACTTGAACTCGTTCCGAGCAGATTTCTGGAGCCGAAGCATGAGAAGCTCGCCCTTAAGATCAATTACCTCTTCGTGGATTTCTTCAGTGGTTTTAGCTCTAATTTCCTTCAATTCCTCCTCTCTCTTCGCCATCATTACTACTGATGAAGTAGGATGTCGATACAATTTCATCTGAGAGCATGGCTGAATGGAGCGTATGCCACGAAGTTGAATGCCACCAAAGGAAGGTTTCGGAATTCCAGAAAATGCTTTTGGAACGCAGCATATTGTTGAGGGTGAAGCTACCGAATTCAACATTTTCCCTTCGATCTCCTAGCTCTTGCTGCTCTGCGTTAAGAGTTGGAGCCAAGCCCCAGTGGATTCGGATAAGACCACCTTCGTCTTCTTTCGGCATATTACACCGGCGTCTTCAGGTTTGTTCAAATTACAATTTACCCCAAACTTAGGGAGAAATTAGACTCTGGTCCATTTTTACCTTACCAACTTTTGCTTCTAGCTTAGTCAATCATGTAACCATGTCCTCGAGTGCTTGACTTGGATACGGAGAAATTGATTGAACTGCCTATCTCAGTGAAACAACATTGTTGAAAATAAATTCATAGTTTTTTTAGTTAATAATCAAATGATAAAGATTACTCCTTCAATTTTATATATTATTCGCTTTTTAAAAATATAATTTAGTTTACTTTATAAATCATTAATTAATAAAATTATTTTATTTTAAATTAAAATTTTTAAATTATACCGAAAAGTAAGAGAAAGAAAAGAAAAAAAAATATTATATTATTTGTTTACTTTTTACCTTTTACTTTAAACTTATATTTAAAATTTTACTTATTTTTATCACTTATATTTTTATTATATTGATATTGATAAAATTAATAAAAATAATTTATAAATAAGATCGGAAGAAGTATCTTCAAAGGTTTGTTGTGAATAAGAATTGTTATTATTCTATTACTTGACATCTTAAAAAATTTAAAATACTCAAAGTCCCATTATTATTAATGGCGGCCTTACAATACCTCCAAAATATTTTTAATATTTTTATTTAATATAATTATGTATTTTAAGATTCAAACTCAATTTTAAAATGAGCTGATGCCTCATTTCATCAGTTGAATTGATTCTCTCGACTTTTGTGAACAATTTGTATAGACAAATGTACGTGATTGTAAGCAAAGATAAATCAATAGATTATATATTACATCTTTTTTTTAATTTCAATATATTTAGAGAGCTTTAATTTTTAACTTTTGTCCCCATCTTAACACATTCTTGTCATCTAAGTTATTATTATTCAATCTTTGTGATTTGTTGTTTTTTATGACCCCTCTTGTTTTTATATTTTGTTAATGCCTAAACCTTAGTTTTCACTCTTCACAACATGTGTTATGTATCTATTGTTATTATTAACAAAAATATACTTAATCTTATATATTTAATGTGTCTGTTTTTAATTAAATCAAGATATATGAATTGTTTATATATTCTTTATTTCATAAGAAACTTTTTTTATTAATATTATTAACACATTAAAATTCACACTAAATACCTAAATCTTGCCCTAACATCTAACGATGATATTTTTTTTATAAACAATATATATATAGGCACATTTGTTTTTCCATCTTCAACTTTCAAAACATGAAAAGCGATTTGGATATTTAATTTAATTCTAAACCAACTTTTCATATGCACCTTCTAAAAGCCATTAAATGTGGATTTAGTAAAAAGTAACAAAGGGTGCTTTTCAAACTGAAAATAGTAAAAACTAACTCTAATACACACACACACACACCTTAACAACAGTTACCTTATGAAAACAAACTTTTATTAAATGAATTTTTAATAAATTAATTTTTGGCCAATGAAAAAACCAAACAAGCACTTTGATTATTTACATTGCATATAGCATAATCAAGTAATAAATGTAAACATTTCTTTTGTTTTGATATTTTTATTTAGGGACACTAAAGATGTTTCTTATATAAAAAGTCAATTTTCTATTTTATTCTAGATTATTATCCCTTCTTTGTCTCAGGAGAGACTTGGCTCATTTGCAAAATATACTTCCATTGTGATTTTCTCTAACTGTTTAAGGTTTGAGAATGTGTTCTTTTCATCCACTCGTTCAACTTTGAAATCAAAGTCAGCGAGCTGTGACCCATTGATTAGTGATCAATGTGTACATTTTCTTATAACCTACAATCTTATTCATAAGACATTTTTTTATAAGGAAATTAGTTTCCTTACTCATTATTGGGATGAGCACCATGGTGCTCATCTTTATGCAAAATATATATGATAGTTAATATACATTAATTATAAAAATTTTAATATTAAATTAGATTCTTTAAATTAAATTTAGACTATATTAAAAATAAAAAGTTTATTAACATTATTTTATAACTTTTATAAATTTTTATTTTAATAGATATAATATATAATCATATTTTAAATTTGGATGGTCCAAATTTCATCACATGGTGCTCATCCCTGTGATGAGTAGAGAAACTGAGTTCCTTTTAGAAGTAATTTTTGATCTAAAATATAGGATATATTATAATAATTAAATTATTTTTTTTAATTTTATCCTTTCTTGATCAATGCGAAAGTAGTTAATATAGTTATATTAATATTTAAAATTAAACATAAAAATAGAAGTATATCTATATCTCTCTTTTTTTATGATATCAATAAAAAAAACTAACTTTTTTTAATATATATAAAATGACTAAGAATATCTTACAATAAGAACAGAAGGGAGTATCTGTTTGCATTTGAAAGTTCAAAGTCTCAGGTGCCAATTTATTGCTATGACTTTGTTGGAGAAAAATATTCGGAAACTTTCTTATGGTTAAATAAGCTACATATCATTTGAAACTTTTTTATGGTAATTAAGCTACAGAGACAGAAATTTTTGCCTAGCTTGTGTCGGTCTATTATATTAAAATCCAATCCAAATTGATACGTTAGGCCAATGAATAAGTAAAACTGAACTAGTCCCATGACCAATCCAGTTAAGGTTTTTGGATAAATTAACAAATTGAATTATATATATTAGTTAAAATATACTTTTGATCCTTTAATTTTATATAAAGTTTTAATTTAACCCCTTAATTTTATAAAATATCTTGTCAATCATTTAACCATAATACCATTTGTTTTAAATGAGTATTCTTTGTTTCAACCGGAACACACTCAAAATTTTTCTCATATGTAGCTAGTTACCTTGGTAGATAAGTATCTATAAGTATCTACCATGGTTTTTTTTTTTAAAAAAAAAAAAGCTAATCCCTTTTTAATGAAACTTAATTTGAAAACACTACCATAATATAAAAGAAACTATCATAATAGAAAAGAGTAAAATATAGTTTCCTTTTCTATTTCTTTCCACCATGATGAATCATTTTTTATTATAGTATTCATTACATAGAGTGAAATAATAGAAATGATTAAACTATGTTTTAATATATTATTATAATTATTTTATAATTAAGACTATAATTCACTGGTAGGGTCCTTTGATTTATTATTAAAATTAATTTAATAAAATTATTTTATTAATCTATATTTAATAATAATAGGAAAGGATTTATCATGATTAAAAAAGAAGCCGCCTTAATAATCCACTGGCTCGTTCGTGTCTCATGGTTTTATGCTTTGGCTAAAACATTTGGCCATGGGTTGAAGCTGGCAAGGTCCTTTGAGATTGCCATTCTCCCAAAATATAGTCTTAATAATAAAAACTATCATAATTAAAAAAAAGATTAAAAGTCAAAAATATCTATTAATTTTGTGTTCAGGGATACTCAACATCCTTAAATAAACAAGGATACAAAAATACTCATAAATTGGTCTTGGTGAGCGCAATTTTCTTGAGCCATTAAAACGGGCAAACATCTGTTCGATTTGTAGAGTGCGTCCAGCAATGATGCCAAATGTCAAGTTACCATGCTCCATATCCGGATCCGTCTTTGATGCTCATCATCCAAGAAAAAATTTAGAGCATCCAAAAATTTTAATTTTATAAAAATAAAAATTTATAACTTTTTTTGTCAAACTAAATATATAACCCGTTCAATGCACGGGAATGTTTTAGTTTTAAAAAAATAAATTAAAACAATATTTTAGTATCTCAAAGTAATATATATATATATATATTGCTTTTTTCTTTATTTTATCATAATTACAAATACTTTTTTATTTTTAAAATATATACTCCTTCTGTTTAAAAATATAAGACATTTTTAATCGAATCTTACCTTCTAATAAAATAATTATTTACTTTCAAGCTAACTTTATATTTTTATTTTTATTCCTATTAAACACCCTACAATAATATAACATCATTTATCAAAAGGGGTACTTTTAAAAAAAAGTCAATGATTACACCTCAAAAAATTAAAAATATCTTACATTTTTTAATATTCAACTTCTCAAAAAATGTCTTATATTTTTAAACGAAAGAAGTACAAATATCTCTTATAATCAATAGTTAAGAGTTATAAAATATAAACATGTCTTCTACTTTTAAGTTTTTATTTTTATTCATCCAAATATTAATTAATAACTGAGTCACATCCGTTGGATAAAGTATCATTCTTAATATATTCTTTTAAAGTTTTATACATATTTTAAATTTATTAGTTATACAAACTATTTTATTTAGTATTTTTTAAAAACATTAAATGCATAGTCACTCCATTAAAAATATAAAACATTTTTAATTAAATCTTATCCTAATAAAGCAGTTATTTACTTTTAAACTACTATTATCTTTTCATATTTACACCTATTTCGTAAGATATTTTATTATAAAATAAATATAAAGTAATTTATTTATTAGAAATACTTTTAAAAAAAGACAATAATTACATCATAAAATACTAAAAATATCTTAAATTTTTGAATATCTAACCCCTCAAAAATGCTTTATAGTTTTGAACGGAGGGAGTAAGTTTATTAAAATAATATTTCAAATACGTATGTGTTAAAAAATTAATGAAATAAAAGATAGATTAGTCAATATAATTTATATTTTTTATTTAAATTTTATAATTTTCACAAAATATCTTTAAATTGTTGTCATAATTAATTGTTTAAAACTTGTTTTTTGGCCAAAAATTATTTGAAGTTTCTTAAATTAGTACTTGAGAGGATAGATAAATATATTATATGGGTAAATTAATAATTTAAAATTTTTCATCATAAATACAAGTAATAAATTAATTATTTTAGAATATTTAATGTAATATTCCAAACAACATTAAAAATGAGACTAAATCATAAGTTTTAAAAATAAAGAAGAAATCTTTTTAATTTTAACAAAACAAAAGGGATGCTAGCGTATTTTACTCTGTAATTTA